TCCTAGAGAGTCCTAGAGTGATGCGCGGCGGCGCCATCGTTTATTTCCCCTGGATGGGAAATGTCGGTTGGGGGGCCGGGCGCGCCTTGGAATACATACTTGCGCTTTCGGGGGGCGGCTGCGTTTTTGTTGGCTTGCCCCGTCCCCTACGCCCGAAGCCCAAGGCGGGGTAAGCGATGCTTTCGAGTGCGGCGAGGCACTCTCCCTGAAAGAAGTCGCGCTAATATGCGTTATCAGTGATTGCGCAAGCGGTTTCAATTTGTTCTTGAAAGTCCGTGTCGATCTGATTCTTAATCAGCCAGGGACGAAATCATTGATGCAGATTGCCGAAACATCACCACTATACCATCGACGTTATGGGCTAGCCTTCGTGGCGCAGAAATGCACAGCGGCTCACATGATATTGGCACTGCTTGCAGGAACTGTACCAGGTTCGCAGAGTGCCGTTCCACAGGGTAGTCCTGGCGGAGTGCTATGCAGCATCAGATGTGTAGGAAGCACTAGAAGATCTGTATAAGCAGAGCTACCGTACCAGGGCTGATGTCCCCAACCGACTGGAAGTCGCTGTGTCGTCTCATTCGGTTGCGCACCAAGCGCACCTTCTTCCCTCCTCGCCTCCCTTCTATGCCGTTCACCTCCTCGCGCCACATATTTTCCAGCATGTGCCGTCGTCTTCACCGCCATCCCTCGAGCGTTCCGGCGCTCTTCTTCACATCTGGCTCCAGACAGGTGTGCTATTAAGGTCGAGGGCCCTGGCGAGGTCCCAGTGAGAGCCATCGCTCCACTGGGCCACTCGTCGTGCGCAGCCGCGAAGCGTCCCCCCACGAGGGCGGCTTGGCATCGCTCGGACGTGCGCATTTTACTGTTTCTCGGCGAGGACCTTCGAGGAGCATCCTCGATCATCGGGCCAACAAAAGCATGCACGGGCCGAAGCATGCACAGGAAAGGGGCGTCCGAGCGACGGCGAGCAGGGGCCGGACCGCACGCCCCCCCATCCCTCTGACGAAGACCCCCACCCCATGGCATAGGCTTCCACAGAACAGGCTTCAGTGTGGGCGTGTTGTTCTGAAGTTGTCGGGCCTGCCCGTGCTGAGCCACCCGACATCGGGATATGTATCCCAACAGGCAACCGCAGCAAGACCCGAACAAGGGCGTTCCCACACGGGCCGAACCGTTTTGGGCCACCCATCACCAAGATCATGATCCTCATACGCCCCCCCCTTCGGAGGCCCCAGTGAGGGCGCTCGCATACTGAGGACTGAGGATGGGCGGTCCTGCACCACCACTCGCGAGTACCCCCACCCCTGTCTTCTTCCCAGGACAGGCTCGAAGCGTCGCAAGATGGCCGCCTCAAGGCGGAGAACCTTTATAGGCGGACACGGATCAAGTGGTCTAAGGACCCGAAGGTCTCCCCTTCTCACCCTTGCGAGTGCCGACAGTTGTTTTCTGTATAGCGCGTGTAAAGCTGCAGACCTCTCTGGTTGTCTCTCCATTCCTGTCTCTCGTGTGCAGCAATTTAGGCTCCGGCTTGTCAGCTGTAGTTCTGGACGGCGCGCGGCCCTTCTGTTTGCGCTCGCGAACAAAAGACGTAAAGCCGCAGACGGAATAATTCAAAGGCTGTCGACGGAGTGCCTCAAGTTGCTCCAGACAGCCTCATCTGGCACCAGAGGACTCCGCCGGCCCCCAAGAGGACCCCGAAGACGCCCCCGAGACGCCCCAGGAGTCCTCCAAGAAACTCCCAACCGAGCCGCCTCCCAAAAGACGAAAATCAGACGCAGCAGCGTGGAATGGAGCTTCCCCGCTGTAGTGTTCGGGCCGAGAACTGCTGGCTATGCCTACGGGCGGGTTACAGCGTCAGGACGAGTCTGAATATGATTCGGTTGATGTCAATGGTGATCCCCGCCTGACTGGTTGCAGTTCCCCCACATGTGTTCCCCAGTTGCGGGTGCGGGTGCGGGTGCAGTTGTGGGCGCAGGCGCCCGTCGGCGGCAACACGGTTCCCCAGTTGTGGTTGCAGGTGTGGGCGTGGCCCGGCGCCCAAAAGAGTCTTACTCTTGGAGGGTGAAAGAGGGGGTCTGCAACAGGGGGTCTTCAATGGGGGCTGAATGGCCCATGTATGCTCAATGTATCGTTCATGTATGTGATCGGGTACGATTGGCATCCAATGCTGGCGGTCATTGGCGGCCAGTCATTGTGCCCGCGCGTTGCCCGCGCGGGCACACGCGCCGTCCATCCATTATCTTTCATGCGTGCGGGCGTTCTTGCATATTGCGTGTGGGTCGGCGAAGTGGAGTGCGAGTGTGTCTTGATTGTGCGGTTGGTGATCGCGTATGTTCCCAAACGATGAGTTCTCGACCCCAAAGACAGATTTGGAATGGGCCCCGCGATTCTCCCCAAATGTGAGTTCACATTTTCCTTTTTCCCAGAATGTGAATTCACATTTTTCTTTTTCCCAAAATGTGAATTCACATTCTGGCCCCTTTCATCAATAATCCTACACCGAATTCCAACATGTGAATTCACATTTTTCTTTTTTCCCAAAATGTGAATTCACATTTTCCTTTTTCCCAAAATGTGAACTCACATTTTGATTTGCCCCACAATGTGAATTCACATTTTGCCCTGGCCTTCGAGATCCCCAAGACTGAGGCGCAGTGTTCCGCATGTCAGATTGGCTGGGCAGGTGTCGACACTCACCAGACCGCTTTCGTGTGTTCCAGCCTTTTCTTTTTGCGCCCTTGGCGCACGTTGCCTTCGTCGCCTTTCCCGAGACCCCCGCCCCCTTGCTTCCTTTCCCCTCAAGTCTCGCGCGCGGGTGCAGGCGGGGGGCTTCAATTAGTTCCCCCGCCGAACACAGCAATCGAGGATGTATCGCCCATTCATGGCCTTAAAAAACATCATTGCCGGGACCCTGCGCCCGACCCCCACTTTCACCCTCCAATACTCGCTTGCGGTTGCGGTTGCGGGAGCGGGCGCCCGCGGGCAGGCCAAAATCGTGGCACCGTTCGGGCGTGCGCATTTCAGGAGGGAAAGAAAGACACAGACACAATTAATTTTCCATTCCCCAGAAAATATAGGAAAATATGGGAATTGGGGGGGAAGACGAAAACCCAGAAAATATAGGACAATATGGGGCATCATTTCTTTATGTGTGTGTATTTGTGTGTTTGTGGGCCTTTTTTTCAGCATCGCGGTGCACGCACGAAATAGGAAGCATACGAACGGGGGGCGGACGTCCGAGCGATGGCGAGAAACGTTTCCTCGGGTTGCGGTGGCAGGCGCAGTTGCGGGTGCGGTTGCGGGGCTGCGGCTCCAAAGGCCGTTAGGGCCAGGAGGAGTTCCCCGGTTGCGCGTGCGGCTTCTGCTGCGATTGCGGCTGCGTGTGCGGACGCCCGCGGGCGACCCAGTATGTGTTCTTCATCAGCCACGCGCAGGGGGGGGTGGGGGCAGGGGGGAGGGCTTCTTAGAAGCACCCCTGCTCCTTAGAAGGCGCGGGCTTTATCTATAGATGTGAGGCCGGCGCCTTCTAAGAAGCGGCCTCCTCCTCCTAAGAAGCCTTCCCCCCTCCCTCCACCCCCTGTGCGCGCCGCCAACTTGAGTTTTTCGCAGACGTCAATCGGTCAGTCATGGCTGGCATGGATTGATACAGTCGGGCCACTGAGTAAGGTACCCTTTCCAATGGGGAGGGGCTCCGTGATCCTCAATTGTTTTACAATTCGTCTTGTCTTTAAGTCTTCTATAGGAAATCGAAGCTTCACTTATGGCCAAAATCGGGGCCTCGTTTTTCATTTAGGGTTCCTTCTGACAGCGTTTCGACTGTACCCGGCTCTGCCGTGAAACATGCGTTTCCCAGCTGACAGGTTTATGTTTGCAGAAATTCGGGCGTATCCGCGCTGCTGGTGGTGTTAGATACTCTTTCATCCCAGCACTTCTCCCCCCTCCGATCGTTCCCTTGGTGGCCCAGCACTGGGAGTCGCCGTGAATGTCGGTCAGGTGTATTTAGTTTGTTCTTCGAACCATTACGCATGCGATTGAAATTCGACCAGCGTTGCGGAATACAGGAAGGGTCGGCATTAATGCGTTTTAGCTCTCGATGGTAAGCACATCGTAGGATTTGCCTTCGAGAGTGTGCGCCAGCATCTTGCACAAAGAGTATACAAATGTCTGGTCACCGACTTGCGCGGGGGAGTATGCGTAGTGTCCACGGGGGGGTTGTAAGCCAGACGTCGAAAGTTATTGCGCCTTGGCACAAGACGGGCTTGCTGTTGTTGCCACTTGGTCAGCAGAGCTTGTCGCTTGCACCATGCTGACCAGTCAAAACCAGATGTTGTCGAGGTGTGAGTACCGGTGCCCATGAGGATATCATTGCACGCTTACTCGATAGGCTACCGAACGCAACGGACGCGCCACTGAGAGAGTGAGTTAGAAGAGGGAGAGAGAGAGAGAGAGAGAAAGTGGGAGAGGGAGAAGGAAAGAGAGGAAGAGAGAGAGAGAGAGACGGAGCAACTGTTCGTATGGCAGAGCTGCGAGTCGGAATGGGAGGGTGGGGTTGGTAAACCGAGCGGGCAGCACCATGCGTGCGAAAAGAGGTGCCTCTTCGCAGCGGAAGGGGTTGGGAGCCTCGTTTCTGTCGCACCCTGCGGCCTTGCTCCAGTGCGTGCTGCGGCAGGCGGGGTAGTGTGCCCCGGTGGCACTCAGAAGCGCACGAGTCTGTAGTTTGTCCAGGGTTTCTCAGCACAGCTCTTCCGACTGGGCCTCCGTCGTCCCACAGGGGCGTTCACACTCATTGGGACCATCTTCGGTGAGGGGCTGCGTGTTCCCTTTGCAGTCTCACGCAGATTTTATGAGGTTGTCAGCCAGCAAGGCACACGCTTCGCCTGGACTCTTCGCGCGTTGCCCTTGCCATCCCGAAGTCATAGAGAACACCAGCTGCACCTGTTTAGGGAGTCAAGCGAATACCGAGAGCTGTTGGCAACACAGGTATAGAGTATGCGGTGAAGATGGTTGACAAGGTCGAAACACCAGTCGACCAGATCAAGAAGGAGGCCGCCATGTTGGAGAGTCACAGGCTTAGATTGGTTCATTACTCAAGAGGCTCACGCCATTCCGCCGACCCTCGCAAGGTTGATGGGCGAGCATTGGCGCTTCCAGTGTCCCATACATCCCACCCAGACATGATACCCAGGCGAACTGTCGGGAGATGGAAAGGGAGAAGGGTTGAAGTTGCAGACCTCTGGCTGTCTCTTGGAGACATCGCGGATGAGTATTGGGGCCCGCTTGGGAGCCTCGAAGAGCTTCTTGGGGCTCTCTTGGGTCCTCATTTGCGCTGTAGGCGCCCTTTTGGAGCCATCCCGGAGGGCATCGATCCGGGTCCAGAGACCCCAAGAGGCGCCCGAGATGCCCTCGAAAAGACGCCTCCGAGAGACCCCGCAGACGCCTGCAGGAGGCCGTCCAGAGGCCCCGAAACTTGGTTTTTGTCGGCGGCCAGGGCGAGCGTACAACTCGTTCGGCTAGCCAGGGGTCCCGAAACACAAACTGCGAGAGATCCGGTTGGAGCCCAACATGCTCCTACATGCCCAACATACTGCGCACTCGTCCGCGTGTTCGAGAGCTGCAGTACGCAGCGCCCCGCGTCGCGCACTTGGGCAGCGCGAGCGCTCCTCATTGATCCCTGTCTCCCCCCTCTCCTTGCCTCCTCCAGTCCCTGCCTCCCCTACGTCTCCCACCTCTCCCATTCCTCCTCCCTCCCCTCTGCTTCCTCCCTATCCTACGCCTGCAGCGGCAGAATCATCCCTTTTGCCTTGTCCTGATCTGCCCTCCCTTTTGCCCTACAGCGGCTGTACCCGATGATCCTGAATCACCATCTTCAGCTTCTCTCATGACGCGCTGCAGTTGCCGTGGATTATACTACCCGTCCTGATCAGGTTCCCATCGCAAAGCCCACTTGTGACGTGCGAGGTCGGGCTCAAACTGCGACCCTGGCCTCCAGATTACAACAACAACGGCTCCCGCATGAGACTTCCTCACAAGTTAACCAGGACCCCCGCTCCCGCCTGAGACTTCCTCGCATTCTACTCAAGAATCGCGCTTTCTCTTGGGACTTGCTTGCAATTCATTCAGGAATCGCTCTCTCGTCGCTCTGGAGTCGCGCTCTCGCTGGAGATATTGCTTGCAATGTATTTAAGGATCGCGTGGGAATTCCCTACGTTGACTCAAACGCCGCGCTCCCGACACTCAGGCAGACAGGGGTCGCGCTCATGCTTAGGACTCCCTCCCAGCTGACTTGGGATTCTGGATCTCGCTGCCCTTCGTGGCCCCGTTGTAGCCGTTCGTGGCCCCCTCGCTGCCCTTCGCGGACCCGTTGCAGCCCTTCGTGGCCCCCTTGCTGCCCTTCGTGGCCCCGTTGCAGCCCTTCGTGGCCCCCTCGCTGCCCTTCGCGGCCCCGTTGCAGCCCTTCGTGGCCGTCTCGCTGCCCTTCGCGACCCCGTTGCAGCCCTTCGTGGCCCCCTCGCTGCTCTTCGTGGCCCCGTTGCAGCCGTTCGTGGCCCCCTTGTTGCCCTTCGTGGCCCCGTTGCAGCCCTTCGTGGCCCCCTCGCTGCCCTTCGTGGCCCCGTTGCAGCCCTTCGTGGCCCCGCTACACCCCTTCGTGGCCCCCTCGCTGCCGTTCGTGGTTTCGTTGCAGCCCTTCGTGGCCCCCTCGCTGCCCTTTGTGGTAAATAGATGCCCTTCGTGGCCCCCGCTCGTTCGTGCCCGTCGTGGCCCCATATGCATGCCCTTCGTGGCCCCGCTGTCGCCCTGTGTGGCCCCCTGGCTGCCCTTCGTGGCCCCGTTGCTGCCCTCAGTGGCCCCGTGCTTGCCCTCTGCGGCCCAATATACGTATGACATTCGTGGCCACCGCTCGTTCGCGCCCGACGTGGCCCCATATGCATGCCCGTCGTCGCCCCGCTGTCGCCCTTTGTGGACCCCTCGCTGTCCTACGTGGCCCCGCTGGCCAGGCCGACGGTCCGCGGCCGCCCCGCCGCTTGCCGGGGCCCGGCTTGCATGGAAGAGAGATATACCTCCCAAAAGGGGTACGATGGAAGACGAAGAGGGCGGGTAGCGAGGGTTTGGGAAATACACGTTGAATGACACTCGTGCAGATAAGAGCGAACAGCCTTAAAATGATGGTTGTTGTTGTTGTCGTTGTTGTTGTCGCTGTTGTGGTTGGAGCTTTTGGTTTTGTTGTTGTGTTTTTTGGGGAACTGATTTCCGAACTCCCCCAGCGATCTTTACGCGAATGCATCTTTGAAATTTGGACAAGAGCGTCAGTTCCAACCTTTTGCCACAAGATCCACAATGCATCCTTTGAAAGAGGGGGGAGGATAGCGGAGCAGGAGGGCCCCAGTTTTTGTCGCGTTCGGGCAGTTGTGTTCCCTTCCATTCGGTGCTCCTGCGCGCGCGTGCTGGCAGGAGGGAAAGCCACAACCACTCTGAATCAAGCCAGCGTGAAGGAACGACGTGGTCGCCGAAAGCCCACCCCGAGCGCCGGAACAAAAACCAGCCTTTCCCCATCACAGGTTTGAGTTCGTCATCTTTGAACTGTGAGGGGCCAGGGGAGCAGGCGGGAAAATGATCCGGATGATGGCCGCGCCATCAGCGAACACAGTCAAAGCGCCTTGGGCTCGAGAAGGGCCGCTACTTTTTTAGGCATTTCCTTAGATCTAGATTTTTTGAGGATTTTTTGATGATTTTTCCTTAGATCTAGATTTAGATCTAGATTTTAGGCGCCTTGGGCTCGAGAAGGGACGCGATTTTTTGAGGCATTTCCTTAGATCTAGATCGGGGGCCCACTCGTGGCTGAGGCTCACCGTGGCGAGAAAAAGCCATTCGCTCCCTATCCAGCGTTCCAGATGGCAGCTGGGCTGTGCGCCAATGCGCTACTGGCATGTACAGTGCCGTTTTTCAGACATGCTCCGCGTGCGGAGCATGTGTTCAACATGCAGGGATCCAGTACTACAAACAACGATGGGTTCACGCACAAATTCATTCACAAATCAGTCATGTATTAAAGATCCTATATATTTAAGCATCCGATGTATTAAAAACTGCCCTGTACCCTGCTAGCCTTCTACGGGGGCAAGGGGTGCGGAAGGTGCCCTGTTACCAGCGCTGGCTTCCGCCGCCCTCGCAGAACTTCTGCCGTCCTCCGCGCGGCGAGCGCCACCATGAAATTCAAGGAGCTTTCACTGGGCCGATGCATTGTGCCGTCTTCTGTATGTGTGTGTCGATTTTCGTGCCCTGTATGCTAATGGTATGGACTCGCAGCGAGGCAGCCCGTTCCGCGTGCCTGCGGCCGTCGGCCTGCTGCGATCCTCCGCCCAAAGGGCGCCGGCACGCAGGCGGCGTTGCGCGGCGTCGGGGTAAGCGGCGGCACGCGGAGCGTGTGCTGGCGTCAAGTCGTGCCCGTCCCCCCTACAGGGGGATTTTCGACGAAAAATAAAAAATACGGCAAAAATACATAAAAAATCGTCCAAAAATAGTCTGGGGACTATTTTTTGGTGTATTTTTTGAGCTTCTTGGGGTATTTTTGGGGTATCTTTTTTGTTCGTCGAGAATCCCCCTGTAGGGGGGACACGCCCGACATGGTGCTGGCGACGATCGCCTGCAAGTCCAACTGGAAATTGCTGGTGGCATAGTGAAGAGGCGGTCGAGCGACGCGGGCAAAAAACGGTGTCGTCTGCGCCGACATTGACGCGCAAGCTGCCCGCGTCAGGTCGCGCGTCTCGTCCAATGTGGCGTTCCGCGCTGGCGGCCTGCGTCAGTCATGGCGTGACGTCGCTATGTCATCTCGGGTGAGACCCGTTCCTTTTCCTCTCTTAGTTGGGATGGATGGGGGGAGCGAGGAACACGAACAGCACGAGGCGGAGAAAGAGAGGGGAAGAGCAGGAAGGGGGAGTGGAAGGGGGACGCGGCACACGGGTGCGTCGCGGCATGCTTCGAGAGGACGTCCTTCCAAGTCTGACAGGGTGTTCAGGCGCCTCGCACGAGGAGGCGGTTTTTCAGAGTCCTCCTGGCATGCTGTGCGCTTGAGAGTCGGTGTGGGAAGCTGCTTCGCCGTTCCACCTGGTGGTCGTGACCTGGGCGGGGTATTTGCCACTTGGGTTACGTCCATCACGAGGGAAAGAAACACACAGACACAATTAAACACAGACACAATTAATCCTCGATCCCCAAGAAAATATGGGAAAATATGGGAAGTGGTGGGGAAGACGGAAAATATGTGGAATCTTTTTACTTGTGTGCATTTATTTGTGTGTCCTGGGGCCCCCTCATGAGAGTCGGTGTGGGAAGCTGCTTCGCCTTTCCACCTGGTGGTCGTGACCCGGGAGGGGGTATTTGCCGCTTGGGTGACGTCCACCCGGTATGCAGAGCTGCGCCGGGCGGGGGGGCCGATCTGGAGCGCACGCTGCGGTCTACCCTGCGCTCCACGCCGCGCTCCGCGTGGTTGTTGGTTCTGGCTTGGCATCGCTCGGACGTGTGCATTTTTCCTTCGGCGAGGGCCATCGAGGAGCATCCTTGATCATTTGGCGAAAAAGCCACGCACGAAACCGAAAGAAACACAGGGAATGGACGTCCGAGCGATGGCGAGCTGGCTGCTTCCATCACGCGGTGATTTTGTGGGGTTCGATTTCTGGACGGCGGAATGCATGTGGCAATGCGCCCATCCACGCCAAAGGGCGGCGATGCGAGATCGAAGCCTGAAGGGAATGCGGATCGGATGACGAAGGTGTTGACGGCTATCATGCATCGGTGAATAGGAGCATGAGTCGTAACAAGAGGAGGAGTAGGATTCAAAGTCGAAGCAATGCCATGAGTGCAGAAAGGGGCGGCCAATCGTTCAGGAGAAACAGGGGTGCAGTTTACTCTGCCTCTTGGTGGTGGGCAGGGGCCTGCACAATGAGGCCTCGACCATCCCAACATAGTCAAGTTTCACGGCGTCTACTACGAGAGGTGTTTCGTCTGCATTGTCATGGACAAGTACGGCGGAGGACGCACCCGCACCGGCCTCTGTTCGAGGGGAGGAGGCACAGGGAGAGGCCGTCGGCCGTGCGGCGGACCCCCTGGACGGCAGGGGTGGCGAGACTCTTCCCCTGGGCGCTCCCCTTGGCCCCGCTCCCTTCCATCTCGGGGCGGCCCGAGAAGCCCCCCCGGATTGCCCCAAGACGGCCCCAAGAGGGTCCCACACGTCGCCGGGCGTCGGCTCAGGGATGGCGACGACGACGACGACGACGACGAGGATCTGGATGACGACGACGACGAGGATCTGGATGATGACGACGACATGATCTGGATGATCATACTGGTTCATCGGTATGGTCACGATCGATCTGGACGGGGACGTTTGATGCTACCCCATACTCATACGATGCTTCCCCATACGATCGACGTCGTCGATCTGAACGATCGACGACGATGGCGGCCCACAAGATCTGGATGACGACGACGACGACGAGGACACGGGCACAGAGGGGGGAACGAGCGACGAGGCGACAGGGGAGAGGGAAGGGGCACAGGTCAGCGCGCTGGGCCCCCGCGCCCGTAGGCCGGGCCTCGCGCTTGACGTTCGATCGGGCCCTGCCTCTTCTGCGTTTTTTTGTTCAGCGCTGCGAGTCATCGGCGTTGGGGTTATAGTGAGGGATAGCTACAGATTCGCGCCACGGAGGCCTAAACCGGAGTTGCCCCGGACCGCAGTTCTCCCGGATAATTTGGGTGCCCTAACCCTCCCGAACCATCAGGGCTGGGGGGGGGCGGTCAGGGTCAGCTACTGATTCGCGCCTCGGGGGCCCAAGCCGAAGTGACCCCGGACCGCAGCTATCTCGGATAACCCGGGCGCCCACTTTTGCCCCGGGCCATCCTGCTCCTCGTGCTGCTGCTTCTGCTGCGTAATGGAGGATGACGATTAATCAATGACCGGGGGTCGTGTTCACGCGGCGGCGCCCGGGATGACGATTAGAAAAATCCGGCCGCGGGCTGAAAAACAGTTGTTTTATCGTTCGCCTCCAGTCAGAAAATTATGCAGAAATAACAGAGAACAATTTTTTAAATCGTGCTCTCCCATTTTTTGTATTAATCGTTATCCCGCATTGCTGGGCCCGTCCTCCCACGGCTTTCTCCACCAGCCAGGAGACCTTGTGGAGGGCCTGCAGAAACACCTCAAGGAGCGCGGTCAGATCAACTGCTTCCACGTCGTGCACGTCGCACGTCAGATGGGAGCAAGCGTCGAGCACCTGCACTCGCGTGGCGGGAGCGGGCCGGAAGGATGGACGTTGCTTGCAGAGGAGTTGGTTGCCCGAGGTTTTTTGTTGCTTGTTGCGTGCAGAAGTGTAGACTGAGACATGTTCTTCGGAAGAGGGCCGTGGACGTTCAGTAGGATCTGCAGGTCGAGGTGCGTGCAGGCAAGGAGGATGAGGGGGGGGCGGGCTTGCCAGCCAGCCCCGACAATATCGACCAGACCAGGTGATATCCTGACGTATTTCGGAGGATGGCAGCAGACGCATGCAAACCACATCGGGGCTTGGAGCCGAGCTCGTATATGTTGACGGAACGTCTTGGCTGCATGCTGAGTTGAGCTTGGCGTGCCCCTCGTGTGGGCTCACTGCAGCATCACCCATCAGCGTCAATCCAGGAGCCGGGCTTGGTCTTACAAACCCCGCTTGTTCCAACACCTTGGTGCTAAGCTTGTGCCCGTCTCGTGTCTTCCCGCGGTATGTATATATTTGTCTCTCTCTGCATGTTGTTCGTTTCTCTATCTCTCTCGCTCTCGCTCTCTCTCTCTATCCCCACCCCCATTTCCGCACTAGCTTTCTTGCGGGGCTCTCGTTGCTTCGTGGTGTGCCGAGATCTCTCCTGGGAGCGCTGCAGGCCCCGTGCGCTGGCTAAGTGTACCGAGGTTCGCGCGGGGCCACAGAAGTGGTGCCGTGCTTGAAGGGCGGGGAGCGCGTGAAAAGCCTTTGATAGGCAGTGGGAAAACTTTGCATGATTTCGTGGTGCCAGGGCGAGATGGTCCAGCTCAGAGTTGAGCCACACACACTTGCCGAGCGTGAGTCACGACGCTGTCAACCACGCTAGATCGGGAAAGTGAGTTATCATATGGGTGTCAGATTTTGAACGAAAAATACAGTGAGGCGTCCCCAGCGCGCAGAGAAGACAGGAACTGGGCACGTGGAGAGCACGGGCCAACTCAGTCCAGCCAGGGCTGGAAGTGTTCCCACGGAAAGCGCGGGCAACCAAACAACTGTCTGCAACAAGAGGAATGGACTGAGCACGCGGAGAGTTCGGGCCCAAATTGGGCCCGCGGAAATTGCGGGCCAACCGAAATTTGCCCGCACATCTGCCCACCCAGGGCAGCACAACGAGAGGGACTTGGCACGCGGAGGGTGCGGCAACCAAATTTGCCCGCACATTTGCCAACTCTAGGCAAACACAGGAAGGGAAGTGGGCACGCGGTGAGCGCGGGCCGAAGTTGGGTCCGCAGAAAGTGCGGGACCCACAAAAAACAGCCCGCACATCTGCCGACTCCAAGCATTGGGCACGCGGAAAAGGCGTGCCGACCCAAATCAGCCAGGGCAGGGACTAGGCCCGCGGAAAGTGCGGGCGCAAGACAACAAGGCCTGCACATCTGCCCACCACACATCGAAAACAGTGAAAGGAACTGGGCCCACGGACAGTGCGGGCCATGACTGCATCCGCGGAGAGTCTGGGGCCAACACACACACACACACAGTGGCCCGCCCATCTGCCCGTGCCAAGCAAGACGAGGAGGGAACCCGGGCACGCGGTGAGCGCGGGCAGGCCACCGGCCAGGGCAGGCATGGGGCCCGCGGGGAGCGCGGGCCACGACAGCACTCGGCCCGCGCACCTGCCCGTCCGGGGAGCCGGGGCGCGCGGAGGGCCCGGCGCGCGGAGAGGGCGCGGGCCAACAGAAGCCCGGCCAACAGCAGCCGGCCCGCGGGGAGCGCGGGCCAACACGAGCTCGGCCCGCACGTCTGCCCAGTGCAGGGGACGGGGCACACGGAGAGCGCGGGACATCGCAAGGCGGCCCGCACCATCTGCCCGTCCTGGGCAAGACGAAACACATTTAAGTGGGCCCGCGGAAGGTGCCGAAGAGAGTTCTGCCCTGCCCATCTGCCCACCCCGGGCAGGCCGAGAAAGGGATTGGGCACGGGGGGAGCGCGGGCCGACACTGACTTCTCGGAAGGTGCGGGCCAACATCTCGTGGTCCGCACATCTGCCCCCTCCGAACGCAAAGGGGAAAGGGCTGGGCTTAAGTCGGGCTTGTCCCCTTACAGAGGGGGATTTTCCACGAAAAATAAAAAACACAAATAGCTAAAAAACCATAAAAAAATAGTATGGGGACTATTTTCGGAGTAGTTGTTAAACCTTTTTGGTGCATGTTTGGTTTATTTTTAATTTTTTGTCGAAAGCCGCCCTGTAAGGGGACACGCCCGACAGAAGGCTGGGCACGCGGCGAGCGCGGGCCGACACAAACCGGCCAGGGCAGGGACTGGGCTCGCGGAAGGTGCGGGGCCGGGCACCGTCCTGGCCCGCACACCGGCCCAGTCCAGCGCGCTGGGCACGCGAAGAGCGCAGGCCAGGGCAGAGCGGCCAGACACGGACGGGGCCCGCGGCAGGTGCGGGGAACTTTCTGAGTGTGGCCCGCACGCCTGCCAACTTCGAGCGCGCAGAGAAAGGGGATTGGGCGCGCAGAGGGCGTGGGCCAAAATTGGGCCCGCGGGAGGAACCAGGCCACTTCAAGTGTCCCGCAGGCTTGCCCGTTCCAGGCAAGAGAAAGCACCGGGGCTGGGCCCGCGGAAGGCGCGGGCCCAGAAGATGTGTCCCGCACGTCTGTCTTCCTGCGGGTCCCCGCTCCGCGCAGCAATGGAGCAGGAGCTGGGCCAGCGGAGGGTGCGGGTCCAAGCAGACTCTGGGCGCGGGCACGAACTGGCCCTGCGGCCCGTGCGGGCCAGGAAAAAGCATGGCTCGCACAGCTGTCCACACGGGCCTGTCCGCTCCAAACAAATACAGTCGGGGCCCTGAAGAAGAGACCATTTTCGTTGGGTAGGGGCTCCGCCTTCCTTGAGTGTTTCACAGCTTGCCCCACGTTTTCCTTAGGTTTTCGAAGGGAAATCGAAGTTCACCTTCTGGAGAAAAGGGACCTCGTTCCTTATTTAGGGTTCCTTAGGTCAGCGCCCCGACTGTAGAGAAAGGGACCAGGCACGCATCAAGGGCGGGCCAAAACCAATCGGCCAGGGCATGGGTTGGGCCCGCAGAAAGTCATCGTTTTCTTATTCGTTCTTTTGCCGATCGGCGCGGACCCTCGCACCCCCTCCCCTCCATTTCAAGCAGGCGGAGTCTCATCCACAGGACGCACTGTTGCAAACAGTCGCGTTACGGAGAGGTCCGGAGACATACCCCCCCCCTTCAGCCCAATGTCGGAACGCCGAACAACAAAACGTTCACAAAGTGCGGGCGGAACATCAAAAAGGCGCGCACATCGGCCAACTCCAAATGAAAGCAGAAAGGACTGGGTCTGCCAACCTTGAGCATCATAAAGACACGGACTGGGGCCGCTGAAAGTGCGTGCCAAGCGAAAGTTGGCCCGCACATCTGCCCAGCCTGAACAGCACAAACACAGGGACTGGGCCTGCGGCAAGTGCGGCCAACAAAAAAGATGGCCCGCACATCTGCCCACTCCAAGCAAGATGAGAAAGGGACTACGGAAAGTGCGGACCAAATAAGTATGGCCCGCGCATCTTGTGTATCTGTGGAGCGAGGAGGTTTGGTGTGTGTTGGGGTGAGCAGGGCAGATTGGCGGGCCATGTGTTGTCTGGGCCGCAGTTCCCGCGAGCCCGATCCCCGCCTCTCCAGGGCTTGCGGGAGAGAACAGTTTTGCGGGCCATTATTTTCGCCCGCGGTTTCCGCGAGCCCACTCCCAGCGCGTCCTAGTTTTTACTGGGGTGAGCACGCTTGCGGACCGTTTTGTTTTGGCCCGCCCTCCTCGCCAGCACACCTCCTGTGAGCCTATCCGCGTCCGCTTGGAGTGAGCAGAGTTGCGGGCCATGCATTTTCGGCCGCAACGTCCGCGAGCCCAATCCCAGCCCCTTCCTTAGCCCAACCCCAGCCCTTCCCTGCTTGCTTGCGGTGGGCAGATTCGCGGGCCAGCTTGTTTCAGGAGGGGAAAACCACACAGACACAAGTAATCGCCGATCCCCAGGAAAATATGGGAAAATATGGGAAGTGGGGGGGACGACGAAAATCCCCAAAATATAGAAAACTATGGGGAATCCTTTTATTTCTGTGTGTACTTTTTTGTGTTTCCCAGGGCCCCTGTAGATTCGCGGGCCAGCTTGTCGTGGCATGCGCTCCGCGGTGCGTCGAGCGCGTCGACGGGAGGGCCCTGCTCCGGGGGACTGCGCCACTTAACCTGCCAGCCCGCGCCCGGCCGGGGGCCCCGCTCCTGCTGCAGCTCGGAGGCGGAGGGAGGGAGAGGGAGACAGAGATACAGAGAGGGGACAGAGAGAGAGAGAGATACAGAGAGGGGAGAGAGAAACAAAACAATTACAGAGAGGGGAGAGAGGGGAGAGAGAGGGGCATAGGTACAGAGAGGGGAGAGAGAGAGAGAGAGAGGGGCAGAGGCATAGACAGATTGGGGAGAGAGAGAGAGAGAGAGAGAGAGGCACCTTTTTGGTCTGCGGTTCGAGAGGGAGCCTCTTCCGGTTAAGAGCTAGGCGGGCCGCGCAAAGCACTAATTGGGGAGACAGAGCACAGGCGGGCGGGGCCTCAGGCGGCCGGAGGGCGCGGGGTGCAGGCGGTGATGTGAGAGAGAGAGAGAGAGAGAGAGACACACAGAGACATAGGCATAGGCCGGGACAGCCCCAGCGTCGGCAAGCGTGGCATTCCTATTCTACAGTATCGATCACAATGTCCTGGCCCACCCGGGCATGTGAGGCCACGCCCGCCATCCAAGAGTATGTACCATACCTCCGTAGCCATTTTGGCTCAAGCCACTCTGGCGCGGGCACTCTGCCTCAGGCCTCCCGCCGCTCCCGCCGCCTCCCCGCGGCCATGGCCCACAAGTCGAACCCGTACAAGAAGGCCCGGTCGATGTTCCGGTGGAAGTGGAAGAAGAAGCGCACGCGCCGCCTGCAGAAGAAGCGCCGCAAGATGCGCCAGCGCTCCAAGTGAGCCGCGGGGGGGCCCGCCGTGGAGGAGGCCACTCCGTGCGGCCGGGGCGCCGCCGGCTCGTCCCCGTGCGGCCGCATCGGCACCCTCGTCGGCCACCGTCTTCTCGCCCCTCAATGTATGCCGTTTCTTGTTCCTCTGCTATTCTTTCCGTCCCCGGTTCGATCGTGCCGAGCTTCTCTCTGCCACTGCCGCGCCGGGCGCGCCTGGGGCTGACTTCGTGGGCGGGCTGACATGGGAGGCCCCACGGGAGCGGAGCCTGCAGAAAAAAAGAGTATGTACCATACCTTTCGCTCAGCACCGTTTCGGCCATCTCTTACCACGCCAGTGCAGCCGACCTCAGAAGATGGAAACACGGTCGTCCAAGCGCGCTTTACCTCCTATCCTCACCAACCCTGCATTATCATACGTATTGCAAGTGTCATATCAAACACCTGACTCTTCCGCACCTCAGCTCAGCTTGCTTTGAATGGGTTCCGCCTGACATATGCGTTTTATCCTCGGCGTGATGTGTTACGTTAGCTACATCTGTGTATCAGTCAGCGACGCCTGCACGATGTTCACGCGAGGAACCTCGTTACACTCGATACGCACTCAGCACAGTCCAAGACCTGGCCATGGTCGCCCTGAACACACATGACACGTTGCTGCAATGGGCCATATTCTGTTCTGCCTGGCCATCAATGTCGCCGTTTTTCTCGCAGCCATATGCAATCCTCAACTCCTAGTCTGTTTCTTCTGTCGTGAGGGCGGCCATGAGGTGGACGCGGGTTACTTGGAGGAGGAGGGGGAGGAGGGGGAGGGGGAAGAGGAGGAGGAGGAGGAGGAGGAGGAGGAGGAGCGAGGAGGAGGAGCAAGAGGAGGAGGAGGAGGAGGAAGAAACGATAACTCGGAGATGAGGAGGGTGAGGAAGGTGACTGTATGACTCTACGGGGACTCGATAGCACGTCGAAGCGACGCGTGGCCAACGTGCAGGAAATCCACCAGCAGCGGCGGCAGCGAGGTGCTTTGTTCCTTCCGCGCCCACGCCCCGGCCGTACCCGAGAGAAGCAGAGCGTCATGACATCGAGAGCGGGCGGGAGACCCGAGGCTCGACCAGGATGATGTCTGAGCGTATTCGGCCCCTCTCGGGTGTCCGGCGGCCTCGGAAGGCCTCCGGAGGCCTCGGGGATGTCCGCAGGAACCTCGAGCCTTCTTTCGAGCCCTCCGGACAAGCCCGGGGACGGATGAGCTCGGTGAGGGGGCGATGCATGGGGGGGGGTGGAAGAAGGTGCGTCCTTTGCGCCCTGAAGGGGCCCACTGTGGCCCAGAAGGGGCACGAAGGGTGCACGCTTCTGCTCCCCATATGTATCGCCCCCCCATGAAGGACCCCCCGGTGAGTAGAGAGGAGAGGCATGGAAGGCGTCATCCACCGGGACGTGAAGGGCGACAATTACCTCATGGACCGCAGAGACATGACAGACCCTGGTTGCAAGGTCCGAAGTGGGCTCGCCTGTCGGTGCAGCGGCCCCTGATATCCTGGCGTTGCAATTTTTGTTCACGCCGGGCGTTTCCTCGCCCGGGTCCAGGCCCCGAGAACATCACGTATCGATCGGATTTGAGAAATGCCGCAGGAAGACGGGGTCTAGGGCTCCGGTCGTGATTTTCGCGATGCTGCAATCGTCTTGCAGCGTCGGATCTCAGCGGGGCAGATATTTTAAGGGATCGCGGACGTCGGAGGGATGAGGGAGGAGGAATGGGGGGGGAGGGGCGAGAGAGGAGGCGGGGATGAGGAAGAGAAGGGCGGGGGACGGAGACGGAAGAGAAGGATCCAGCCCTCCCAGTTGGGGTCAAAGTAGATGGGGTCGAGAAGGCCGCGGCGCCCGAGACATCCTCCAGAGCAGCCAGATCTCAGAGATTCGCGATTGATCCTCGCCTGAATTTGTCCTCGTCTTGGCTTCGTCTGAGTTATGCTCCCTACCCGCCCCCCCTCCAGAGCCGCCGGATCTCAGAGATTCTCGATTCATCCTCCCCCGAATTGATCATCGCCCTGGCTTCGCCTTAGATTCCTCCTCGTCCTTAGATGTTCTTGAAAACGCTGGGGGGCGTTTTCTTTTTCGTTTTCAAGATTGTCGTTTTGTTATGCTGTTCGAGCTGTTTTTCTCCGTTTTGGGATTGCCGGCTCGCCGTTTTCGGTTCGTTTTGCGATCGTCTTTCTAATTGTTTGTAACTACAGTTGTTCTTCCTGTTTCCCGTTCCTGTCAATTGTTTTCTTTTTTGGATTGTTTTTTTTGTTTGTTATTTCTATTATGGGTTGCCGTTCTTCGCTCGTGTTGGGCCCAGCTGGTGTCCTTTTTGTTATATGTTGGGTTGTTTTGTTTGTAATGTTTTGGTCGACGGCAGCATGAAAAGTTGAAAACGGAAAAGAATGCCTCAAGCGCTTTTGAGAACAACTCAGCCCTCGCCCCAAACTTTTGCTCTTTAGTCCTCGTCCTCTTGCTTGTCGCCCCCCGCCTCGTGCCGTTCCCCCCCCCTTCGGCGGCGAGCCGGGCCGGGGGGGGAGGGGAGGAGGAGAAGGTCTTCTCGGAAGGCTCAGGAGTCCCCCGGGCGTCAGAAGTTTCCTGGGCATCCCCCGGAGGCACAGAAGACTTCTCTCAGGAGGCGCGAAGGCTGCTGAGAGGTCCCGCCGCCTCCTGAGAAGGCCTTCTCCGTCTCGCTTCCCCCCCCCCCTCGCTCGCTGCCGACCCCCTCTCCCTGGCGCCAGGTCGTGCTGACGGACTTCGGCACCGCCTGCCACGTGGAGCCGAGCGAGCGCCTGAGCGCGGCGGTCGGCACCAAGGCCTGTGCCATGTCCAGGGGGGGGGGCCCTGGCGGAGCCACGGGCTGGGCATCGCTCGGACGTGTGCATTTTCTTCTCGGCGTGGACCATCGAGGAGCATCCTGAGCCATCTTGGGGAAATTACGCGCACGACATCGAAACATGCACGCGCGAAAAATACATGCGCGAACAAATCACGTGTGCATGTTTCTCGGCAGGGACCATCGAGGAGCATCTTGGTCACCTTGCGACACGATGCACGCACGAAGTCGAAACATGCACGGGGAATGAACGTCCGAGTGACGGCAAGCGAGGGCGAGGGTCAGAGGACGAGGAGGGGGGGAGGCTCCGAGGACCCAGGATGATTCGAGGAGGGGGAGGAGGAGGAGGAGGAGGAGGAGGAGGAGGAGGAGGAGGAGGAGGAGGAGGAGGAGGAGGAGGAGGAGGGTTGCATGCAGAAGTGGTGCAGAACAATTCGCCGACTTAGGCGAGGCGGTAATTGGCCGGCCGCCTCGCCGGGTGAGCGCGCAGGGCGAGTGGGAGGGCATGCTTGCTTGTTATTATCTTATGATGGATCGTGTTTCGCGCTTCGGCCTTGTCCTGGCAAAGAGGCGGTGGGGAGAGGGGGCGGGCACATCCAGAGACCTTTCTTCGGTTGGCGGGCCACATACAAACGTGTGCATACGACGGGTGAGGAGCAGGAAGGCGCGGCTGCTTACACAACGCCTCCTCGTTTCCCGCATTTCTTGCGGCATGCATTCGCACATTTCCGTTGCAATACCCTGAGATCTTCTGGGCGCCCGAATTCTTCGACAAGAACTACGGCAAAAAGGCGAGCTGGGACGGACGGAGAGTTCCAGCGCTTCCACCTTCCCTTTCGTCTTCCACTCCTGTCCTCTGTTGTCCTCTTTCTCCTTCGCCCCTCTCTTCGTATTCCCTGCTTCCTCGTCTTGCCTCATCACGTTTGCCTCGTCGTCTCGCT